TTGGGGTAGACTTGTTCCGCTTTCACTCAGGGAATATCAAATCTTGGAAGAGATGGATCTATTCTGCTTCTTCTAAGGGAATATCAGATCTTAGAAAGTTGATCCATTGAATCAGGGTAGACTTGTTCCGCTGTCACTCAGGGAATATCAAATCTTGGAAGAGAGGGATTTGTTCCGCTTCTTTGAAAGGGAATATCAGATCTGTGGGAATTAATCCATTGAATTGGGATCGAACCTGAAAATTAAACATTAACCTTTGTTAGCATGTGTTTGAGGATTTGAAAACATCATACCTGAAAGTCTTGGAAAGATAATCTTTGGAATAGATTTCTCTTGCGGAAGTTTGTCTTGCCACGACCAAACATAGAAATCCGAATTGGTTATTTTTATGTTGGATATTTACAATTCTATCATTTCTTTTAAGAGAACCTGCAAGCACTAATTATTATGCATTTTATGTCATGATCCTATTTATGCCTAAAATGTGTGCAATGATGCAGTTATTTTGAGGGTATTTTCTTTTCAAACGAGAATTTTCTTTTGTTAACGGCCTTGTACTTTAGTCTTATTTGGGCACGAAAAATCAACAGCAATTCATCTCGATCGACAATCCTGGTTGGATATTCTTTGGTTGAGCCTGATTCTTATTCTCTTTAATCTTTGAACCCATGTACTTCTCATGACATTGCATAAACCTTATGCTAAAACCATTTTCGACTTCAGAATATCTGCATTTTCCAAAACTTTTTATACAATAATGCACAATGATCTCATGTTTCCTGAGCTAATCTACATGTTTTTATTTTTACTCAGGATGCTTGCAACGCGGTTAAAAACAATTTTTTAAAAGAGTTTTTTTTGGGTGAATACATGGCAACCTAGAATAATCAAAATAAAATACAATAGACGTCATCAAATATCAATAGTACGAATGTTTTTGAACTGACACGCCGTAAGAAGACCCGAGTATAACTTCTTTCAAGGGGATCTTGAGGATTGTGGTAATGTGTAAGGGTGTGAAGTTCCCCCTGTACTGCCAAATTCCTGACTGTCGGACACCATAATCTAGTGTTTAAATCTCATTTACTTTCTGGTTACCCAAGTTTTTCGATTTCCAGCCCTAACTCTGACTACCATTTCAAGCCTTTAAAATAATTCAGAAACTCCACCATGCACGAATTCTAAATTCACACAATTCTCAAGCCGCCCTTTACGGGTTTTTAACCTGAGACATTCTCTGGTTTCAAGACACTCTTTTCGGGTTTTCATCTTAAACCCTCCTTTGAATTTTCTTTTTTTCCAGATTTCAGGCGAAGTACTTCTTGATTGCATCAGCATTCACAGGGTTAGGTAACTCTGGTCTATCCATCTCGGTGAGTATCAAAGCTCCTCCAGAAAAAGCCTTATTTACCACATAAAGTCCTTCCCAATTTGGTATCCATTTACCTCGAAAGTCTTTCTGAATTGACAAAATCTTTCTCAGCACCATATCTCCCTTCTAAAACTCTCGTGGGTGAACCTTTTTGTTATGTGCCCTCATCATACGTTTCTGGTACATTTGCCCATGGTAGATAGCTTTCAATCTTTTCTCTTCAACCAGATTCAACTGGCCATACCTAGCTTGCACCCATTTTGCTTCATCTAGTTTAATCTTTGACAGCACTCGGAGTGACGGAATCTTAACCTCTATGGGTAACACAGCCTCTATCCCATAAACTAAAGAAAACGGAGTTTCCCAGTGGACGTCCTCACTGAAGTTTGATAGGCAAACAGAGCGAATGGTAGCTTCTCATGCCAGTCTCTATAAGTCTCAGTCATTTTTTGTATGAGCCTTTTGATGTTCTTATTGGTTGCCTCTACCACTCCATTCATCTTTGGGCGATAAGTAGTGGAATTATGATGTTTAATATGGAGTTGTTTACATACTGACTTCATCATCTTATTTTTTAAATTCAAGGAATTATCGGTGACGATTCTTTCTGGTAGCCCATACCGACAAATAATTTCTCTCTTCAATAACTTGCAAATTGTTGACTATGTGACAATTGCATAGGAGGTCATTTTTACCCACTTAGTGAAGTAATCTATTGCAACGAATATGAAACGATGGCCATTAGAAGCTTTGGGTGAAATTTGCCCAATGACATCCATGCCCCACATAGAGAATGGCCATGGAGCAGTCATTAGATGTAATGGATGAGGAGGGGTGTGGAGCTTATCTCTATAAATCTGGCATTTGTGACATTTTCTGGAGAAATTGATACAATTTGTTTATAGGGTTGACCAATAATATCCAAATCTCATTATTTGTTTAGTCATTGCATGTCCATTAGCATGGGTACCACATACTCCTTCATGAACTTCTTCAATGATCGTTCTAGCTTCTTTGGCATCCACACATCGCAACAAGACCTGATCATGGCTCTTCTTGTATAAGATATCACCATCAAGCACATATCCTGCCACAATTCTTCGAATAGTTCTTTTGTCATTCTCAATGGCATGCTCAGGGTAGCTTTGATATTTAATTTACTGCAGGATGTCATAATACTAGGGATTTCCATCATTTTCCTCTTCTATGCTATAGCAATGGGCTGGATACCCATAAGCTTACATCGTAATAGCTATCATGCTCGAATATTCATTGACTTTTAAGGTCGCTGCCAAGATGGCCAGAGCATCCTCCATTTGATTCTCTTCTCTGGGGAGGTAATGGAATGTCACCCTCTCGAATTCTTTAAGCAGCTCTAGGACCAACTTAGGGTATTCCACCAACTTCGTATCCTTTGCTTCCAATTCACCTCTGAGTTGATAAATTACCAGTGTTGAATCCCCGTATACTTTGAGTGTTTTCACTTTATACTCAATGGCAACTCTAAAACCCAGAATACATGTTTCATACTCGACCATATTATTTGTGCAATCAAAATTCAATCGGCTGGTGAAAGGATAGTGTTTTCTAACAGGTGAGACGAGAATTACCCTAATCCTGTGCCCCAAGGCATTCGAGGCACCATCGAAATTCATCTTCCACTGTTCATTAGTAGAGGGAAATTCCTCCTCAGTTGAAATAACCATTAAATCTTCATCTGGAAAATTGAAGTTTGGTTCATATTCTTCAGAAGCCCTCGAACTTCTTTATATGTTTGTGGGGGTGGTAAATCCTGAATAGCTTTGACCTTGTCAAGATCTACTTTTATCCCTTTTTTGCTTACTACAAACCCTAGGAGTTTTCCCGATGTTACTCCGAATGTACACTTGCTTGGATTGAGTTTTAACTGGCATTTCCTTAATCTTTGGAAGAGTTTCCTCAGATTCTCGATGTGTTCTTCTTCTGTTTTAGCTTTAACAATCATATCATCAACATAGACCTCTATTTCCTTATGTATCATATCATGGAATAGTGTTACCATGGCCCTTTGATAGGTTGCCCCTTTATTCTTTAGCCCAAATGGCATCACCTTGTAATAGAACGTGCCCCACATTGCAACAAACGTATACTTTTCCATATCATCTGGATGCATCTTTATTTGATTATAACCTGAAAACCAATCCATAAACGAAAATATAAAATTTCCAGCTGTATTGTCCACTAGGGTATCTATGTGTGGCAGAGGGAAATTATCTTTCGGACTGGCCAGATTAAGATCTCTGTAGTCGACGCACATGCGGACTTTCCTATCTTTCTTTGGTACTGGAACAACATTTACTACCCATTCTGGATACTTGGCTACTTTTAGGAACCCATCATCGAATTGCTTCTTTACTTCTTCTTTAATTTTAAGCAATATTTTGGGTCGCATCCTTCTGAGCTTTTGTTGTACCGGTTTATATTCGGACTTTATTGGCAACTTATGTACCACTAACTCAATGTCTAAACCTGGCATATCCTCATACGACCAAGCAAACACATCTATGTACTCTCGAAGCAGCTCAATCAGACTTTGTCGTCCCTCAGCATATATGATGGTGCCAATTTTTATCTTCCTTTGATCCCAGATTCAAGATCTCAATGGGCTCTTCATGAGGCAAAATTTATTTATCTTCTCTCTCTACCATTTTTAGTAGTTCAGAAGGTAAATCACTTCCCTCATCATTATCATAACCTCCAACTTCCCCTTAACATATGGGCAGCTCGAAATCTATCTTCGGGTCAGAGTCATCATCATTCATACTATTGATACTGGAAGTCCTGAAAGAATAACGAACGAGATGATATATATACATATACAAATACAAATACTGGAGAATCTATCCCATATCAAAATAGAATAAAATAATAATATATAATAAATAAATAAATAAATACAAGGGAGGATGTTTTCCATTTCGTGAATTAACAGGAATGCATCGTTCATTAAAATAAAAAATAGATAGATTAACCCCTTACAAAAGATCACCTATTGCCTCAGGGTTTAGACAATAGGGAAAGTTTCTATGCATTACTCTGAAATAGTTTTGTAAACTACAGGTAATTCTTTTGTAGTCCAATTGTTTTGCACAAAGCATGGTGGTGAGGGGTAGATGCCCATAGCCCTTTCGTCTTCGATTCCTTTCTCTGATATCACATTTATGCCTAAATTCCTCAGGGTATTTTCAATAAGAGGCTCTTTGGATGATCGAGCCCCCTGAAACATGTGGCCCCCGGATATGAAGGTGTCACGCAACGATGGGAAAATCATTGGCTCCCACTTAATATCCTCCCCGGCTAACCTGGCTTTCCTATTTTCCTGGCTTTTTTGAACATTTTTCAACTTTTCCTTTAAGGTCAGGCAATATACTAGACCAAAACGATCTCGCTTAATACTGAATAAACTAGACTAATATTTCCCTGTAAGCGACTCCTTAGCCCTCTTCTCACCTTGGCTCCTCTTCCCAGAGTCATTTTTAGTTCCATTGTGGTACAGTTGGATAGCCTAGGCTTCGGAATGTTTTTCCTTTCGGCAACAAAGGTGGCATTAACGAATTCCAGGGATCTGAAAGAGCACTCGACCGCATCTTCATCTATTTCGACATATGGAAGCAATGATTTCTTTCTCAGCATTAAGGCATACCAGTCTCCCCTCAATTACAAATTTGAGTTTCTGATGCAGAGTGGATGGCACGGCTCCTTCCTGGTGGATCCAAGGCCTTCTTAACAAGCAATTAGAGGAGGACATTATATCCATTACAAGGAATTCGACCTTGTAGGTGGATGAGCCTATGGTTAAAGGAATATCGATCTTCCTCATCACCTCCTTCTTTATTCCGTAGAAAGCTCGAACGATGCATTGGCAATTTCTCATGTGTGTACTATCGACCGACAGTTTCTTCAAGGTCACTAATGGAATCACATTCAGGGCAGAGCCGTTGTCAATCAGTACTCGTGATAACACATACCCCTTGCACCTGATGGTAATGTGCAGGGCTTTGGGATTGCCCATTATTCCAGATGGGATCTCGTCATCAGAGAAAGAGATGAAGTTATCCGCCTGAATATTTGCAACCAGTCGGTTTATCTTTTCCACTGACACATCTTTCAGTATGAAAGTCTGATTCAAGACTTTCAACAAGGTGTTTCGATGTGCCTCAGAACTTAATAGTAAAGTTAGGATTGAGATACGAGTTGGCAATTTGTGTAATTGTTCAACAATGTTGCATTCGCTATGTTTCAAGAATTTTAAAAACTCTACAGCCTCATTCTCGGTTACAGGCTCATTAATTGCCAGCTCATCATCTTTTAATAATATCTCAACCTTTTTCCTTTGTCTGCAGCCGTTATTTTCTCGGGTTCACTGGTATGGTTGGGAGAATAACATCTCTCACTTCTGGTGAAGTGGCCTACCTCATCCACCTCTTCCTTAGCACCCTCTAAACTCTCAACATTCTCTAGTTGGCATCCATACCTCCAAGGGACCTGCTTGTTGTCCTTATAAGGAAAGGACGATGGAGGCGTGATCACCACTTTAGGGATTAACCTTTCCATAGTTCGGGCTTTCGGTGTGATGACTAAAGGGCAGTTAGTATTGTAAACTCCCTTTGATGTGCCTTCAGAAGCGCAAATCTTTACCTCTTTATCTTTCGTAGCTTCATGGTAAAATTCCATGTCTTTATTATCCATCAGTCTTTGAACCAATGCCTTGAACTCATCACAGTTTTGAATGGCATGACCCTCGCAACGGTGGTAGGGGAAAGCATGTTTATTCTCGTTAGCATTAAAGGTCAACCAGCCTACTTTGACCATTCGCCCCATACCCAATGCATAGGTGACTTCACTTCATTGACTTTGGTTATGACTCCGTTCCCTTTTTCTTTAACAGCATTAACCCCTGTCCCTGCATGGTTCGGTAGTGGGTTCTGAGCCACATTGTGCTGCTCACTATCATTGAAGTTGATGACATTTCTTTGTCTTAATCTCTGCACCAACTTTTTAAAGACTAGACAGTTTTCAATTGAATGCCCCGATGCCCCCGCATGATTCTCACATTGAGCATTGATGTCAAACCATTTTGGGTAAGGAGGTTGCATTGGAGAAGTTTGGTAAGGTGACACCACATGTTTGTCATACAGGATCTGGAATAGTTCTATATAAGTCATGGGGATAGGGTTAAATTGAATCATTTCCCTTTCCTGTCTTGGTTCTTTCGCCCCTTGCTGGATAGGATTTAGTGTTGACGATGTGGTGGCTTGAGGTCGGGATACTATAATGTTATTAGAATCATATTTCTTCACATTATTGACCTCATTATCATTCCTTCTCACTGGAGGCTTTCAGCTAGATTCTCCCCCGTCTAGTTTCCCGCTTTTGATCGTCATCTCGATCATTTCTCATGTATTGACTATATCAGCAAATTTTTGGACGAATTTCTAATGAGATGTCCAAAGAATAGGGCCCTCAGAGTATTTATAAAAAACATATTAGTTTATTCATCCTCTAACGGTGGATGAACTTGCACAGCCACATCTCTCCACCTTTGGGTATACTGCCTAAAGCTCTCGTTGGATCTTTTTTTCCATACTCTGTAACAAAATTTAGTTTGGCCTCACATATTTTACGTGCTTATATTGCTCTAGAAAATCCTTAGCCAAATCCTTCCAGGATTTAATTTGATCCCGACTTAGCTGATTGTACCAACGGAATGCTGAGTCTGCCAGGTTTTCTTGAAAACAATGAATTAATAACTAATCATTTCCCACATATCCTGTCATTTTTCTGCAAAACATGGTAATGTGTGCAGAATGACAACTGGTGCCATGAAATTTCTTGAAGTTTAAAACTTTGAACTTCGGTGGCAGTACTAAATTAGAAACCAAAGATAGCTCTCTGGCGTCGATTCCATATAGGCTAGCATCTTCTTTCATAGCTCGAAATTCATGCTTAATTTGTTCTCATTCTTTCTTAAACTCTTTATTATGTTCTTTATTGTATTCCTCATCCAAATCAGGGACATCTTCAATTGGTTGCGGGTTTATAGAAGAGCCAGGCAGGTTCACTTGTATTTTTTCTGGTTGGACAGTCGTTGCTTGTTGTGTTCGGACATGCGGTGGTGTGAAGCCAGGGGGATATAACGGTTCCTCGATAGCAGGACCGATAACTGGAGCCTCTCATCGGATTATACTATTTCCCTGTATCAAACTAACCAGCTTTTCCATCATGTCATTTTGGGCCTTTATCATCTGTTCACGCATATCCTCTTGCGCTTTCTTTAAATTCTCTTGCATTTCAGCTTGAGCCTTCTCTATTTGGACAATTCTGCCATCCATTGCCTTTTTTCGCGTGTTGTACGGATGTTTGTAAGTGTCCAGTATTCTGTCACATAATCTTTTTATTAATCATGGTGCTTTATTAACGAGGTGTGAAAAATGTGAGTAGAATGTTATTCGTAAAAGTAAATGTGATGTAGATGCAAGATTAATGCAATGCAAAGTGTTGATTCTGGGATGATTCCTTAGAAAAACTTTTTATATAGGAAACGAAGCTTGATTACAAGGATTAAACAGATCATAGATACATCTGAGCTATCTCTCCTAATTGTTGGATGTGTCCCAGTAACTCCAAGATTTTATGGCCTTATTCCGTCTCTTGCTCCAACCCTTCGATCACATCATCAGCTTCCTGTGACAGGTCAACCAAATCTGAGTCACTCCTTGAGCCTGTTGTAGGTATCTTATGATGAGATCCTCCCTTTGCCTAACTCTCCACTGATCCTTCTCCCAACGATAGCGCCATTGTACAACTCCTTCATAAGGGACCAATGGAAGTTCATTTGCTCTTCTTTGCAAATCTTGAACTAAGACCTCGAGTTCATTCACACGCTTCGTTAATCTTTCCACTTCAGCACAGTTTGAACTACTTTCTCGACTTCGATATCGTCACAAAGCAGTCTATAAGATCAAGACTATATTCTTAAATTTCTCATTCTGGGTGCGATTATCTTGCAGTTGTTGTTCTAGGGCATTCTTTTCTCTAGAGAGTAGCTTTGCCTGATGTCTGCTCTGTTTGAGTTCTTCACTGCTTTCTCCAACTTCTCTTTTCAGTCCTGCCACTTCTTGTCTCCATTTAACAGAAGACTTACTTGAGCTAGCAGCTGTCTGATCCTTTATCATTCGCTAGTATGATGACTGGAGATCATTAAAATCCAATCTGAGTTGTTTCTCCACTTTTTCGATCCGGTTAGCTCGACTCTTTTGGATGTCGATTTCTACGCTCCTTTGGTATGATTCATCCTCTAAACTTTGTAACATCTTCCTCAATTGTTTCATCTCGTCCTCAAAATCAAGCATGGCTTACTCGAGCGGAGACGGGATCACCCTGAGGTGTTCTTCCATAGGCTGAGTATTCTCTGGGTTACCTATCGGAATATTATTATTGACTCTGTTGCTTCTCCACTCCTTGTACCCTCGAGATAGTCTTGAATCAAAAGTAAATAAATTTACCCGATGGGTGTGTCTCCAAGCATCAATGACCCCTTTAACTTTATTCTTGTACAGTTCTCCCTTGAATGCAAATTCAGACTTAGATAACTCCCTTGTTGCCAGAATAAACTACCTAGACCCTAATTATCAAGAAACTAATAACGGGGCATACCCTATAGACCCCTAAATACCGAGTACCCAATCTCTGTCTCCACATCGATATAATATGTCTGATGAGACGTTCCATGAGGTACACCACAGAATGTCACTGTCTCGGATGCCTTTGAAGATGACCATCCACTTCTTCTCAGTGAAACCCCTAGGCCACTCCCGAGAAATGAAATTTTTCAACGGTGAAAATTCATCTAAGAATACCCAACCAGGTGCTCTCTTGATGTGTTTGAAATGACTAAGGATCCAGGTTAGCAACGATAGTGCATAACCTATGAAGCGTCATTCACTTTCTCGTTGGCAAGAGCTCAGGGAACAGAATGTTTCTGCCAGGATAACTGGAACATGATCCATATGTCTATCCAGTCTTTCGAACAGGTCAACCACTGATACATCAATATACCCGAGAACTCTCGAGAAAATGACCAATTCATAGATACCTAGCATAAAGAAGTCAATCTTATTTCTTCTGTCAAGATGACGGTCAATAAATTCTCTCAGAAGGGTCCAAGTAATGCATTCGCGATCTCCTTTCTTTTTTATGCCTCTCATAACCCATTCTTCGCTCATGCCAGTCATCAGAATAAGTTCTTCTTAAAGGAAAGAGTATTTGGTGGTTTGGTGTATATTTTATCTACCTAAAACCTCGGACAACGAATCAAGGCACGATACTCCTCTATAGTAGGCATCAGGTCTCCTCGGCCAAATGTAAAACAGCTATAGGCGGGATTCCAAAATTGAGCTACAGCTCTAAATAGATTCCGATCAATCGGGACATCAAGGAGATATAAATGTCACCATGGAGTTGATAAAACAATTGTTTCTAGGACGCTTCCCATTTTCCCCAAATCTCTTTCAGCTCGTTCAGATCATTCTGACAAACGTTGATGTGAGTATACTCTCTCAGCTCTGATACATACCCTGGCGATAAATTGTCTCTATTTGTTAGATGGGACTGCTCGGACCATCTCAAGACGTCTGCATTGTCCTCTACCTCTTTTTGAATCATTCGTTCCATAATACTAGTCTTCTATATGGACATCAGTCATGGATCAACACCAATGAGATGAATAGTGCAATGCAAGATGAGGAAAAAATAAACAAAAGGAAAGAAAATCGACCAGTAATCATAAATGAATTGATTAAACATAATTCAATTTATCAATAAAACCTACCCCACATGTTAGCTACCCAATCATGCTTTAGTAGATCATACCCAGACATGATTTCTACCCATATGCTTTGTTTATAAAACATCCTAACCTCATGTTGTCTAGTTCGCATGCTTATCCAAGAAATTAAACCTAACAGCATGATTTCTAGTTTGTATACATTTATTTGAGAAATTAAAATTTCACTAAAGAATGCTCAAATAAGCTTTTCCTTGTGTACTCTTCTCACATGATCATATGGTCTGGATAAGGCCGAATCTGGGTTCTAAGTTTACTACATGTTGGGTTTGGTTCTAAAGTAAGGGGTCCTCGAATTATCCTTTGTCGGTGCCCCCTTGGGCTACCGAACCCTCAATCCTGGCCCATCACAAGCTTTCAGATCGAGTTCAATTCGAGGGGACACACTTCCTTATGTCATTGCGGAGGTGCAAACCTCACGAGGATCATAAGGCGTGAGCCCAATGAGCGTTTCACTATCTTGTACGGAGGTGAAAACCACACGAGTGAGTAGTTACCTACTCCTACTTAAATAGGATGGAGCAGGGTTTTAGCTCATGTTATGCAAATGCAGTTGTGCAGTGTGTGAGGAAAAGCGAAAACAAAGCAAACAACACTGAACAGAAAACTCAAGACCCTGAACAATTATTTAATCTGAAAACATTAGCAAATAGACCAGTACAACTATTTAGTGGTTAAGCAAATTAAAAGTCAAAATGCAAACAAAACTTATTTAAAACCAAACAAGGGATCAAAAACCAAATTAGAACGAACTTGTAATTTTATTTGCAAAGACAATTTATTAATCGACTAATAGCCTGACTCTCTAAAGTTCCCCAGTAGAGCCGCTAAGTTGTCGAAACAATTTTTTTCCCGAGTGAGATTTTAAAAACCACACCAATTTTTAATTATTCTCTCCAGATTAAATTTAAATTAAAAGTGAATGTGATTTAAAAAACATCTCGTTTCAAAAAATTTGGGATTCCTTTTTTTAAAATAAAACTTATGGTTTGAAGAGTCACCACAAATATTTGATTAGGGTGTGATTGGCACCCAAAAATAAATTTGTCATTTTAATAAAATATTAATTTTAATTAAAAAGACAAACTTGAGATTTGTGTTACCAAAATTTGAGTTCGGGAGTCGGTTACGCGAGGAGAAGGATTAGCACCCCCACAACACCCTAAATCGGTACCTAGTCGATTAATTAATTGTCTTTGCAATAAAATGTATAAGTTTGAGTCTAATTTAATTTAAGATCCCCTAAAATAACAATTTTTCGAAATTTTGGATGAAAGATAATAATATTTAATTATTTCCTATCGAGAAAAACCGATCTATTATACCTTGAAGCAATCGATTCTTACTCCAATCGAAATAAAGAAATATTAAAATTCAATTCTAAATTTCAAAATAATAACACCCAAAATAATTTTTAGAGAAAAAAATAATAATATTTAACTATTTCTGATCGAATATTATTATTTTGATTATTTTGAAAACCTTTGAAAACACATGCAAAAGTCAAACAAATTAAAAATACGATCAAACAATCAATTATATTATTTATTTTACCAATATTTAACGAGAATAAGGATATTCAATTAATTAAATATCTCGAGACAAGACTTTAGATTTGATCTAACAGTCTTTTCTCGATGAATTTAATTAAAAGAATACGATCTTTTCCTCAAATCCTGAATTTTAAAAATGGATTTGCTTTAATTGGTGTCATTCAGCGGGATAGACTTTCATTTTAAAATTATCGGAAGTAACTTTCTTATACGTTAAGACAATCACTTTACGACAATATTAAAATGCTCGAATATTACCCTTAGTCAATTTATTTCGATTCGAGTAAAGTGATGCTTATGAGGATATCATGCGAAATTAATTAGGACTAAAATGAACTAAAATGCAAACAACATGCAAAAATAAAAAAATAAACATAAAAATAAAAGTAGGACTAAAACACAAATTATCAAACCATCATACCTAAATTAAAACAAAAAAAAGTAAAATATGCAAGTGACTAAAATAAGCATGTTTAATATCTAAGGCTAAAATTGCAAATAATAGAAATAACTAAATAAAAGGGCTAAATTAAAATAAATTAAAACTACATAGCCGATTTAAAATAAATACATAATATGTGGTGCACAAAAATAAAAACATGAAAAAATATAGGGGGCTAAAACGAGATTTAACAAAAAAAATATATAACATAAATATAAAAATGGGGAAATAATAAAAATGATCTCCTAGTGACTATTTTGTAAAAACACGTCAAAGATATAGGGACCCTTAACGTGATTTTACCCAAAATTATTTCTATATATATCATTTTATTTCTCTTTTTCTTTGTTTTTTTATTTTTATTTTTGTTTTGTTTGTTAGAGAGAGAGGCTTTGACCTCTCTCTAGTTTTTCGACCAAACGTCGGCGAGGAGCTCCCGTCGATCGTCGTGCCGTCGTCGTCTCCGGTGGCCGATGGCTACCAAGTTTTACGGTGAGATCCGTCTCGACCTCCCCAACTCGGATCTAGCCTCGGTTTAACGTGAAACGACCTCATTTTGCATAAAATGGCCAAAAATCGTTCGGCCTTCCCGACCCCAATCCACCGCCATCCACCGTCGGATCGTCGCCGTTTTTCAGTATGTTGTTCCTTACCCCTTTCTCTCCCTTTTCACCATTGGGATCTCGGAACGGAGGCTTTCACCACCGGCAAAGCCTTGGCCGAAGGTAATCTCCCCTTTGTTTTTATTTTATTGTATTTATTTATTTTTTTATATTTCAAATGATAAAAAAATCAAAACACAGAAGAAATATTTATCTTCAATATTTTATTTTTTTTTCTTTGCTATTCCGTTCGAAATCCTTCTGAACCCCCCATTACAAATATGATTCGGGTTTATACACCCTTACAAAATACATTAAAAATATTCCCTACCTTTTGTTATTGGACAACTTTTACTAGTGGTGGTGGCATGTATGGGCTAGTGAAGAGAAAAAAAATGATAGTGGGAAATGAGTTTGTCCACACATTTTAGTGGAGAAGTAAGTGGAAAAATAAGTTGTCTACAGTAATATTATAAATAATTATAATTAAATTTGAATAAAAACTCGTACAACTCAATTTGACACAAATTTTATAAACTCGAGTCAATTTCAAACAAAATTTGAATGAAAACTAAAACTCGTCAATTGGTTTAACCAAACTTATTTGACTCGACTTAATTGAATACTCACGCCAAATTGTGGTGGTTGAGATTCAAACCCATTTAAGTCAAAACCAAAAAAATTTTGTTCATGTCTTATCTCATATATAGACTCCAAGTTGGACATATTTATCGGCTTTGTTAGAGTTTGACTCGAATTTAAATTGGCACAAGTTAATTAATATATAAATATTAGAAAAATAGGAAATTCAGTTTGGATAAAAGTGGTAAACTTTATTAAAGTAGATTTTTACTTTATTTAGTTTTCCATTTATCCCTATAAATAGATACTAAAGGTCATGATTAAATATCAATTTTGTTTCTTTCACCAAAATCCTCTTATTGTATTTTTGTCAATTGGTTTAATCAAACTTATTTGACTCGACTTAATTGAATACTCATGCCAAATTGTGGTGGTTGAGATTCAAACCCATTTAAGTCAAAACCAAAATTTTTTGTTCTTGTTTTATCTCATATATAGACTCTAAGTTGGACATATATTTATCGGCTTTGTTAGAATTTGACTCGAATTTAAATTGACACAAGTTAATTAATATATAAATATTGAAAAAATAGGAAATTCAGTTTGGATAAAAGTGGTAAACTTTATTTAAGTAGATTTTTACTTTATTTAGTTTTCCTTTATAATCAAATATTTATCCCTATAAATAGATACTAAAGGTCAGGGTTAAATATCAATTTTTTTTCTTTCACCAAAATCCTCTTGTATTTTTTCCGTCATATTAGTAAAATTCTTCTCTTATGCCTGTGGTGTTTCCCTTTGGGTTTTCCACGTAAATCCTGATGTTCTTTGTTTTTTTTTTCCCGATCATGTTTATTTGTTTGTCGATAATCATCGTTCCGATATTATAACCGGCTTAATCCCCAACTCAAAAGAATTATGAAGGAAAAATAATAAAATAAACAAGGGAAGAATATATACATTTTAAGAAATCCACTACACCAAGTCAGCAGTACAATGAAGAAAGGAAGTCACAAGGATTTCTCGAGAGGTCTCTTAACCAAGTTTTTACATCATATCTACATATAACTACACTACCAAAAAGGAAGAAACAACCTCTATAGCTTCAACTAAATCTTATCCTACTTAACACCTCGACTAGAACAATAAACAAGCCACAAATACATATATATTATCGATATCAGTACCAAGAGAAGAGGATATTAGGATACCAAGTTTCTGTTAGCACCGAAACCGAGCTCGAAACCCGTCGGAACATTCTTATCTGGGTCATTTGCAACCGGTCTTCAATCTCTTTGCAGCCTGAACAAATCCCACAATGACCTGCAGCTCATCCATTTGCTACACCAACAGACGCCCAATTATATCATGTAATTAGAATTTGGCCGGAAACCGTTGAATCTCGTTCATGTACGAAAGGAAGAGAAACAGGTTTACCTGTGACATGAAATGCCTTCGAACAACATCAAGTAGTTGTTCTTTCGATGGATTGGGGATGTCATCCACCTAGCATTAGCATAAGCGATGACATTTAAACAACTTTTTCTTCTTCTGTTATAAATGGCCTATTTCTTGTGCCAAGAACTTACAAGATTGAAGTGTCGCCAATATCTCCATAAAGCAGCTATCTCGAGTTTGCTAAGGTCAACCTTCTACAGGGGAGATTAATGGAAAAATACAACCCCAATTACCCAATAATAGTTAGCTAGCATAATTGCACAATAAACCAAAAGAACTTACATAAAAACCAAATACAAGTTCGCTAAAAATCATTATTTACCGTGGACCCGATAATAGTGGAAACAGACCCCTTAGACTGTGAGTCACAAGAAAGAGACCTGCTCATAGTCTTGTAAGAAGAACCAGTTGATTTATGTGGTCTATGCCTCGATCTGTGCGACTTGTGAGTGTCATCAGATACTGGAAATTGAGACATAAACATTCAGGATTAAAGAGAGAAAAAAAAAGGCACGGTGGGACCGATATAAAGATAAAGCAATGAAACATTGAATCTTTTAGAAATAGCAAAAGTTAAAGTGAAGACACAAAGGATCCTATGTTGCAGGCTCAACTACATTTCACTAAAAGGAAATTATCATACACCAGATGGTTAATCTCAAAGTTAAGTATAATTAGAGATCAAAAATCACCAAGGATGATAAGCATAACACTTCCTTCCAAGACAAAGAGGTCTTGCACACAACACATGAGAACTCGAGTACTCGACACAAGAAAAGAAATATCTTTTCCACTACATATGAATGAAATTATCAGAAGTGCATACGAAAGAGAAAATCAAGACAATTGTTGGTTTAAATGGCTTTGCAGTTCGACGTTATAGACATCTAAATTATGAGGCTGACGCATTTTTTTGAAGAAACTCACCCATGTCTAATCCATTACACTGCATGCTTTCGAATTCAAGATCGCAGTCGTCTTCGTTGCCAGTAGGTGCTTCAATTACGCTGAGTGCATTTCTCTGTAGCTTTACTTCTATGCCATTAGTAAGAACCTGTGGTTTTTATTAATTAGACAAACAAATATCACTATCAGCTACACAGTAAACAAATGCCTAATCCACCAAAATATGCTAAATGGTCAGCTAGAATTAACATTGTCAATTTGTATTTCAATCCACTAGCCAATCCAGAGTTTTTACAAAGAAAATAAAATCTGGTCATGGCTACATATAATTCAACGTGAAATCTATGAATTTGTCAAAAGAAATCAGCAGCAATAACAAAAGATAAGCAAATTATTGGAGAGAAAAATCAACATCAAACTATGAATTAATGGCATAATAAATCATGTGAAACACAAATGAAAGTTACAAAAAAAAGTTGGGGATTTTCTTAAAAACCAAGAAAGCAAAATCAAAACTCAGAAAATAAAATGAGGTTTTCATCGAGAAAAAGTTCCAAAATCAATTCCACAAGATCCCAAGAATATTGAATAAAAAATGCAGTATCAGTTTTAAGATAAATTCGTAATAATTTGTTAATAAAAAAGGGAAATGAATAGCAATGCTTTACATTAGATTACAAACATTTTTTTTTCAAAGAAAAAGGACCAAAATTCATTGTAAAAATCATACATTTACTAAAACACTTGGAAGTTCCAGATCCATAGACTAAAACTTACATGCAGTCAAAACCCACTTCCAAGACCTCAAATTTGCAACTTGAGGCCAGTAAAAAACCATTGTGTTTATTTGATAAAAAGATAGAAATCAAATTCAAGAATCAAATCTGCAGTTTTAGTAAAAAAAAATCTTATAAAACAGGACAGTCAATTGTATTACAGAGAAAAAAAAGGATTAAAATGAAAATCACCCAAAACAAATATGGATAATGAAATGAACAAAACAGTTCACTTGCAACCAATTTCCAGATCAAACCGCAAAAACCCATTTTTAAAAAACCAAAGCTGAAAAAAAATCCAAGTAATTACCAGCCAATGCCACCCGCCAAGCCCAACAGCCTTCTTGACCACGCCTTGAAGACCAACAAGAACCGATTTAGTACGGTTATTCCCGGTGACAACCACTTTAGTATGACGTGGCAGCACCGAGAGCTCTTCTTCGCTACTGTCTCCGCAACTCTGTAACTGCGAGAAACCACCGCCATTGACCGTACCCTCCATTGCCTCCAACATTAGTTTCTCCAACAAGCCCCAACTCAGTAAGTCAACCAGGTGGTCAAACTCAGTAAAAATTCCAAAGCCAAGGATCGAAATTACATTTGATCGGAAGATCATGCATTGGTGAATACGTATAAGCGGTTTTCGTAAGCAGGGGAGAGAGAAATTAAGGCAAAATATGGGAATTTCGTGGAAGGGAAAACACAGTTTAGAGAGAGAGAGAGGGAAAACAAAAAATTAAAGCAGTCGTTTTTCTAGGGAGAGAAAGACTGGATTTTGTTTATTGGTTGGTGACGCTAGGGAATCCCGACAAAACAAAATGGACCAATCATAGGATTCCACGTAAGGATGTGAGAGCCTTCTCGTCAATCATGCGTTACGGAGAGAGGGAAATTCTCTGAAATAGCAGTTGCGGTTTTACTAGCAGTGAAATACTAGTAAAATCACCAGATTCGACCTTTCGGTTTTAGGCATTTTTACCCAAAAAAATTACTCAACCATTAAATAATGAGAAAATCGCCTCAGTGACCAAAAATGCCTTATAATATACGATTTTAACTAATTTTTTTTGGATTTGCCAAAATGACCAACAAAATCGCAACGCGAAATAAAAATCGCAACGCGATCCCCAGAATCGCAAATCAGTTTCCAAAATCGCAACACGATTCTTTAAAATCGCAATGCGATAGTACAAATTCGCATTGCGATTTTCCAGAATCGCAACGCGAATATGAAAATCGCAACGCGAACACATAAATCGCAACGCGTATCCGTAAATCGCAACGTGTATCCGTAAATCGCAACGCGTATCCGTAAATCGCAATGCGTATCCGTATATCGCAACGCGTATCCATAAATCGCAGCGATAATACATAAAATCGCAACGCGTATCCGTAAATCGCAACGCGATATTTAAAGCGCCATTATAATCGCTACGCGTATTTTATTTTCAAATTACAAAAACGAATATTAAGACAAAATCCCGTAATCGCAACTCATAACCTAAAACCTAAAATCACAACTCAGTCCCATCTCCATCTCTCACTCTCTACGGCGAAATCCGTCCCCATCTCCGAAGATTTCCGTCCCCATCTCCGGCGAAATCCCTCACAACCATTCACGGTCAGAAATCCCTCACAATATTCAGAAATGGAAAATCAACCTCCGAGGGTTAGTTTTTTTAATTATTTTTATTTTGAAATTTTTGCATTATTGTAGGTTTTTCATATTGAAACTGATGATAAGTTTACTGGTCATTTCAATAATAGATTAACCATTTCACTTAGATTTCATTTCGCGTTACGATTCTCTCGTTGCGATTTTCATTTCGCGTTGTTATTCTCTCGTTGCGATTTTCAAGTTAGTATTTGTCTTTGTCTTTGTTCTGTCTTTTGGTTGAAGTAATGCAATCCATTCAAGTTTCAATTTGCAGAAGAGTCGCAACGAGATAAATGAAAATCGCAACGAGAGAATGACTGTCGCAACGAGAGAAATGAAAATCACAACGAGAGAATCGCAACGCGAAATGAAAATCGCAACGAGAGAATCGCAACGCGAAACCAAAATCGCATTGCGATTTTCATTTCGCGTTGCGATTCTCTCGTTGCGATTTTCATTTCGCGTTGCGATTCTCTCGTTGCGATTTTCATTTCGCGTTGCGACAGTCATTCTCTCGTTGCGATTTTCATTTCAACCAAAAGACAAAACAGTGTTGCAAATTTTAGTTTCAAGAATAAACTACTACTTTTTATGTTTATTGTTTTTGGTATATCTTCACAGTGTAGTTTTTGGTATATCTAACTTGGTATGTTTATTGTTTTTGTAGAAATTTTTTTCGGCTTCATTGACATTAAGGAATAAAGTTAGCCTAGCCACTACAATTGCTTCGAAGCTTTCACCTGCTCAAAGACAATTGTTTGAGGAAACCTGCTTCGGGCCATGGCTGAGAGTACAGCATCCGGGTGGAGATGCTAATTTGACCCATTTGTGGCTTCAGACCATGACATCAAATCTACCCGACAGTATACAACGTGGTGAGGAAGAGATATGGTTTCATTTTCCACCAGTTATACGCCCGTGGCATTTTCTTTTCTTCGGGGACTTTTTCTTCTTCTTTTTCTTCTTCAGGATTATATGAATTACAGAATGGATGTTCAACATGTTCATTCACAGTCGTAACTTCCTCCTCATTATCATCAACAATACATTCTTCGGCAACGGCTGTTTCATCATCAAAATTCGGGTATTGACCAATATCAAAATCATTACACGCAGGGTCTGTTTCTTCTTCTGAAACATCATCAAAATCCGTGTATTGACCAATATCAAAGTCCGGATATTGACCAAGACCAAATTTTGAATACTGACTAGTACTCACAATTTTTTCTGTTGGCTCATCATCGTCTAACTGGTCAATACGAAAACCAGAATTTGGTGCTGAAAGTTGATTGGGATTTGGATTAGAGAAAGGTTGTGGGTTTTGAGAAAAACTTAGTTGATTACTACCCGCTACTGACCCAACAATACTACTTCTAGGTTCAACAACATACAATGTAACATCATCTTGTGAAACACTAATGTAAGCAATGAATCGTTCAACATCTTCATTGTCGGTTAACAAATAAACTTTACCATTTCTCTGATAAGATAGCCTAAATCCACTTAGGGGCTCTAAATTCAATTTATTTGAAACACGTAGCATTAGAGTTTCATAAGTTAACTTTTGTAAAGACAATTTTAGTTGAAGATTCATGGGTAAAGGCATATATTGTAAAACACCATGAACATTATCCCATGACCCTCCAAAACACAAATCTATCCAAACATGATCAACATTAGATGATTTCATGGTTGTAAATTAATTTACTAAACAGACGAGCTGCGAAACTAAAACCTGTTGCCGGATTGGGAAGGATGTCGTTGGATATAGGAACGGATGTCGCCGGAGAGAGTGATAGATGGAGATGGAATGAGTTGCGATTTAGGGATTTAGTTTATGATTTGCTGCTGTTTCGTAGTTATATACCCAAAATTTCAGTGTTGTGATTTACAGATTCTCGTTGCGATTTACGGATTATCGTTGCGATTTACATATTCTCGTTGCGATTTACGGATTATCGTTGCGATTTACGGATAGGCGTTGCGATATACGGATACGCGTTGCGATATACGGATACGCATTGCGATTTACGGATACGCGTTGCGATTTACGGATACGCGTTGCGATTTATGTGTTCGCGTTGCGATTTTCATATTCGCGTTGCGATTCTGGAAAATCGCAATGCGAATTTGTACTATCGCATTGCGATTTTCAAGAATCGCGTTGCGATTTTGGAAACTGATTTGCGATTCTGGGGATCGCGTTGCGATTTTTATTTCGCGTTGCGATTTTGTTGGTCATTTTGGCAAATCCAAAAAAAGTTGGTTAAAATCGTATATTATAAGGCATTTTTGGTCACTGAGGCGATTTTCTCTTAAATAATTACTTGTTAGACAATTACTGTCCTAATTTTATTGATCTAACATCTTTTATGATAGTGTGACAAATAGGTGTGGATCAGTATTCGTGCCTTCTTGGGGTTCGTCTGAGCTGGCGCCACGTAGGGGTAAAGTGTAGATCATCATATGTGTCTTCCTGGGGTTCTAGCACGCAACGAAGGTACGGATTACCATCCGTGCCTTCGAAAATTACCCAAATCGTACGTCTTAATTATCCTGACACCCTCCCCTATAAATACCCTCTCATACAACCCTCAAATCACATCAAAACGAAAAATAGTTTTTTCTTATCACTCATTCTAACAAAACTCAAGTAGGTTCTGTTATTATTCTTAGAATGTAAAATTATTGTTATTATATTATAATCATTAAATAGTTAATTATTTTATTATATTTTACTGCTTAAATTTTTTTATGTTTTGCAATTATAAATTGGAAGGCAGATTGCTTCGCTTAGATGGGAATCATATCGCGAGTCATTTTGCCGATACGTTAACAATTTATTTAATTTTTATTGGTTTTATTATTGTGTTATGTTAATTATTTCCAATATTTTTTATTTATTTTTTAGTATTAGTTTATATTTTAATTTGTATATTATTTATTTAATTAGAGGAATGACCATATATTAGACTTACTTATTTGTAATGCTAAGTTAGAGATACCAAGTCGTGTCTGACCGTATTTAATGTAGGTTGGATTCAGTTACATAGCTAGATATAAAGGGCATTGTAACCTTGAAAACAATCTTATTTCTACATTAGTCGATAGGCAGAGACCGGGGACACACGTTCCATCTTCCGTGTGTGGAGTATACGATTACACTGGATGATGTTTCCTTATATCTGAGGTTATTGGTAGATGGGGATGTCATTTGGGGTGTGGCGGATGGTGACTGACATTCGTTGTGTGAGGAGTATCTTGGAGGTATCTCACCTGATTTCAATTATGGTCGAATACCGTTATCATGGTTGGCGATATATGTTGAACATTTGAGCAAAGATTGTTCTGAGGAACAGGCTAAAAGAGTTGCCCAGGCTTGCATATTATGACTGATAGGAGGGATCTTGATACCCGATAAATCTAGCAACCAATTTCATTGTATGTGGTTGCGTCACCTCACAATTTTTGAGTTGTCGGTTCATTCAGTTGTGGCTCCAAAATTTTAACATCTCTGTATAGAGAAATGTGTCGAGTAACTGATTATCAAAAAAATGCTATCCGCGGATGTCTATGCAGTCTGAATCAACGAATAGTCCAATCTCAGCACCATCTACACCTGGCTCACGAAGAGGTTCTTCTGGTGGAGATAAGGGTTCCTCTAAGATGCAAATATTTAGGTCCAACAAGTTGGCAGTTGAATGCATTCCCTTTGAACTTGAATGTATTATGACATACAGGGTTTAGACTGAGTCTTGTGTCGCAGGTATCTCGACATTGAGGTTAAAAAAGCTCGCAGTTGAATACCTGCCCCTGGAACTTGAAGGCATTGTGTCAAATGAGTACTGAACAGATTATTGTGTCGATGGCATCCCCATATTCAAGTAAAAGAAATTGGCAGATGAATGTCTTCCCCTTGAATTGGAAGCGACGTTGCCATACGAATTGTTCGTGGAGCCACCTCGATATACATCATAACAAGTTGCTGATGAATGTCTCCCCATTGAACTTGATGAGATGATACCATGATGTGGATTTCCCATTATGGAATTAAAATCATTGCACATTATTGTAGTTGGGCTGTCAACTTGATTAGATTGTTGAGCCAGCCCATAGTGTGAGTATAATGACATACCACAAACCACATACACTTCAACAAATTTCGCATGCATCTGTGCATCGACCTCTGAATTTTGATTGTGATAATCAACCATCATAGCAACATCGTCATCATTGGAGAGTTCGAACGCTGTATAAGATAACAAAAATACTACTGTTGGAAATCTGTACTGAAGTGATTACAGTCTTCTAGTCTTCCAACATGAACTTTACTTGAAATTTTAGTGATCAACTCCTCAAGAGTGATGTTTCTCTAAAAGGATATTCTCACAGAATGATTTGATATGAAGACAACGCTTGTTTCATCTTCCCTAATTTCTCCATCATAGTAAACAATAGCTGAAATACACCTCATTTTTAAAGTTTGAAAGATTGAGAGTCTTATATCTGCAAAAATAATAGATTAAATATAGCTAATTAAATAAATAATATATGAACTTAAAAATAAAATAAATCTAGAACATTTTAAAAAATCACAGTAAATTTAATAACACAATTTAACATTGTTACCACCTTAGGAAAATGTCTCGATATTTGATCCCGCCTTCCATTTTATACTGCACAAAATAAAAAAATCATTATTACAAAAAATTAATCCAATAATTAAATTTAAAATGACAATAATATAATAAAATTAATTTTACCTTCTAAGAACTATAACAAAATCTATTTAGCTTGATAGAGGAAAATTATAGAAGGAAGAATATGAAATTAAATTTTGGTGTGGTTTTATGTTTATTAACGATAATATTTATAGGGGAGGGGTGAGTGATTCTTAGGATTTGAGCAATGATGGAGTACCCAATAAGTCAAGGAAATAATGGAAGGCCTGGATGGTGATTCGTGCCTTCGCCGTGTGTCAGAACCTCAGGAAGACGTTGATGACGATCCATGTCTTTTTACCACGCTTTCACAAAAGGGTGTTAGATCGGTAAAATTAGGGCGATCGATGCCTGATAGGTAATAATTAAATGGTTGGGTGATTTTTGAGTAAAAATGCTTCGGTTTTATGTTATTTCTTAATAGTTGTAAAAGATTTTTTTTAAATGACACATGGATTTGATTCATAATGGAGATAATAGTTATCAAAAGAGTTATACAAAAGTAAAATATTAAATTTAAAGATACGAAGAAAAATAAAGCTTTCTAATTGAGTATGACAACCAACATCAAAATCCAATAATTTTCATAAAAATTTCTTTTATCTGTCGAATGAAACACTTTATGAAGTGATAAAAGAGTGGTGAGCGAACCAAACAATCTGTTAGGCTGCTTCACTACACAATTATGATTACGTCAGCAAACAACCTTTTACTAAAAGAGGAGATTTGACTATACGTGGCCATCGACAAACCAATCAGAAAATAAATGTTGTGATGATTTTTGTGCGAGAACCAAAATGATCGCAGGCATATGCGAAAAACATACAAAAATCCATAAGGATCGTGTCATAGAAGCTGAGAAAACGCGTGTCACAAGAGCAGAGAAAAACATGTCACAAGAATAGAGATTCTTATTTAAAATTAAAAAGACTCGAGAAAAAAAATAAAAATAAAAGACATATTATAAAAAATAAGGGAAATAATAGCCACCGACGGTCGACAACCAACATTAAGATTAATGTCATCACCGGTTAAGCAAAAATCAAAGAGAAAGAAGAATACGGCACAAAACTATTACAATAAAATTAGGGTTAAAATAAGGGAGAGAGGGGTATGGTTTTTTTAATCTAGTTTATTGGTTTAATAGTGGTAAAAGAATTTTAAATTCAAAAGCATCGTTTTTAATGTATCTCCAAACGAGTCTTTTCAACATAAAATTAATGTTTTTTTAGTTTATTAGTTTGAGTCAATAATCACTTTTTAAAAGTGAAATTTTGACTTAAAATGAATTTTTTTAAAAATATTTTTGTATTTCAAACGAAAATTTTGTATCTCCAAATGACTTCTTATTCCAGTTCAGGACATGTACATAATAGCTCAAAATCAGTAGATTTGGTAATGCTTTTTAAATCTTTCATTGTTTTGATATAAGGTTTTTCATTTATTAAATATAATTTTTAAACATGTATTTAAGTGATTAAAAACAATGCTAATACATGTGTTTTATTGTTGTGCTAATTCTCATGCATTTATTATCTTTGGATAAAATTCATATAGTTTTCTATCATTTTTTTTCACATTCGTTTATTTTGATATAATCTTTAGAAGCTCACCAACAAAAGACGTTTGTTATTAAATGTGTCTTTTGAAAAATGCTTTTAACGAGATGCGTCTTTATAAACAAAAAATCAATTTAATAATTAATCTGAAATGGGAGTTAATTCAAAAATTAAAATTTTGGGCTATAATTTAAATAAAAAAAATTTAGATGACTTCTTAGTAAATTTAGTAAATAAAAGAGGATCATGTTATTGATATCATATGAAATAATTTTACATTTCGTTACACTAGCGTCTCACTGTTATTAATCAACTTTGATTGAATCTATACAATATATAAAAATTATCCATAAAAGATTAACATTTGTTGTATCTTCACTAATTGTGATATGCATTAGAATTGAATTTAACATAAAATCTATAATAATTTTAATTAGTTTATTTTGTTGTAAATTACATTTTCACTAAAATTAAATAATAATGTTTTTAAATACTAAACCACACAATAAATAACATGTATTGTTGTATTCTTGGTTAAACAGAAAGAGTTATTGATGGCAGTAATGGTTCTCTATGTTTTTTTGAATACTATGATGTGATTGAGAGAACATTCATTTTAGCGAGAGAGATGTTTTCTTTGGATTTCGATCCGACTGTCGTAAAGAATAAATATATGATGGAGATTGCAAACGTTGTGACAACTGCCTCTTTCAATATTGTCTTTAAAAGGGTAGGACAAAAAGGGTAGAATTAGATGTACCAAAAAAATTACAGTTATTATTGTCTGTGTCTTTCTTTTTCTGTACAGTTTCTCTCCACACTAGTCATATACAGGGGTTTTCATGTGTTCGAGTTTAATAAATTATCAAAGATGCAATATTATTTGGAGAAAATAATCTCAGTGATAAAAAATGTCTTATAATATATGATTTTAACTAATTTTTTTTGGATTTGTTAAAATGACCAACTAAATCGCAATGCGATCGATAATTCGCAACGCGATCTCCGGTATCGCAAATCAGTTTCCAGATTCGCAACGTCTTTGTGGTCGTGATAGTGGTAATACGTGTCTTCGACACATTCGCGCGAATACTATATTTTTAGAGAAAATTATTAAGAAACAAATGCAATACCACCAGTCGTTACGATTTTGGACTATCGCAATGAATTTGGAATAAATCGCAACGCGAACTTCGACTATCGCAACGAATTTGGAATAAATCGCAATGCGAACTTCGACTATCGCAACGAATTTTGAATAAATCGCAACGCGAACTTCGACTATCGCAACGAATTTAGAAAATCGCAACGCGAACTTCGACTATCGCAACGCGAACTTGAACTATCGCAATGCGATAGTCGAAGTTCGCTTTGCGAATCTGGAAACTGATTTGCGATACCGGAGATCGCGTTGCGAATTATCGATCGCATTGCGATTTAGTTGGTCATTTTGGCAAATCCAAAAAAAATTGGTTAAAATCGTATATTATAAGACATTTTTAATAGAATAGGTATCATATACACGAACTTTAAGCAAAATGAAAAACCCAAAAATAGATTATGATATGATATAAACATTTTATCTGATAGCACAAAGTCTTACATTGTCAAAAGCAAAAATAATTAAAAACTACTTATGAAAGTGCTCATAGAAGGAGAACTACATTAAACTATTTCTACCTTATTTAAGTGGAATAAAAGAGTTTTTATTTTATTTTATATAATGTCAGTAACAGTTTCAACAATAGTTACAACAGCGCCAATGTTTTAAAATTTTTGCAAGTAATGGCTTTGAAAATGGTCTAACAATACATGTGAGACATGCACCAGTTTACTCCATACTAAAAAAGTTGTATGTAAATCCACATATAAATAAGCAAGGTTTTCTTCTGAATAATTCAAAAGTTTTTCATAATACCATCATCATTGCAATCTGTCAGGCCGATGCCACCTCCCAACCCTATTATAGATGACTGAAATTTACAGAAAAGAAACAAGTATAGTTGTAGTAGTCCCGACCAAGCTACCATTAAGCATGGATGAACCAAGGGGGCTGGTGGAGGCGGTCCCCTCTGAAAATTTCAAATTCCCATGAATTTTAGATATTTCTTTAAATTTTCCATTGATAATCTGTTTTCATCCCCTAAAATTTAATAAGTTCGCCCACAACATAAAAACTTACGTCCGTCCTAGTGTAACACTAGCGGTCAAGGAAGAGCTTAACTCTCTCTCTCTCTCTCTTTATTCAACACTTTACAACATTCCGAACATAAAAAGGCGCCATCAAATTTTAGTATCATAAGAATACAGATCCCAAGATGCAGTATGCCATCTCAATATTTCAAGACTTCATTTGCAATATTCACAAGACAATCACCAAGTATGACATTAGGTATCCCATTTCGATATAATAAATGTGCGAAAGCTTTGGAGAGGAAAGATTGAAGAACAGAACATATAGTGATATCTTACTCTAATTTATCTACAATCTTAACATCTATCAGCTTCAATAGTCTAATAAGTTCATAAAGAATTTTTTTCAGCTCCCATTTCCTTCTTTCCTTTCTAAATTATTTCTAAAAGAGCAAGACAAAAACAAAGTAAAGTTTAGCCTTATATTCACCAGGAAGATCTAAACAAGAACAGAGTTCTCAAACATAGAAAGAACTTAAATATTTTCTGTGACAGTTGATATGTCAACCAAAGGCACAAGAAGGTCAATACTTAATTATAAAAAAACTTAACTATAAAAGAAAAGTAGAATAATAACCTTTGTTTTAGACAATAAAATTTAGCCAAGCAAATTTATTTCAATGAAATGGAACCAGAGGACAAGGGAAGGATCAACCTTTTGCAGAACTCAGTTACATATATATCGTGAGCTGTTGTAGAAGAAGAAAAACATCAACACAATCACCAACGTGTCTTCCATGGTTTAGGAACTACCAGTTGAGACATTACAATGCTACATAGACTTAAAAACGGTTGTGGTGAACAAAGAAGCCAATAGGACCCTTTGACTATTCTAAACACACAGATAAGAAAGCCGATTATCTCAATTCCAAAGTCAAACATTTGTAAAATATGACAACAGACCAAATACTAAAACTGGTAATATCATAGAATACTAGAAAACAGAAAATAACTCCTTATATAACAATATCAGCATAATTTTGCCAGGCTTCCACAAAATAACTATTTTCATCATTTTTTATGTAGAAGATGAATAATGATTAAGTCATCAAAACAAAATATTAGAAGCCCTTACAGTGTACAAAGGCCGAAAATTCTATACCAGAACTTGTACATATTAGGTAATTATCTATCTTTACATAAAAATGAAGTGGAAAAGGATACTGAAAAGGCAACGTTCTCACCAATCCAACATGTAGAGTCCGAAAGTGACATTGTAGAGATAGATCTTACGTTGAACCCAGTTCATATCTCTAAACCTTGTAAACAAATGTATATAGATGCCTGGAAAATTTATTGCAGACACAAACAACGATCAACTCAAAATAATCCAATATACAAACTTATGCAGAAAGAAATTACAATTACGAGATCAGTTAATATATGTTGCTCAAATCATCTTAACTTATAATTCAATTTCTATCGGATGCAATTTATTTTTTTCTCAATACAACGTCCATAAAGCACACATGACTATAATAAATTAGCGACGAAAACTCGATGGTTCAATTTCCGAACATAATTGATGTTGTTTACTTTACGATGCTATAAAACAATCAAGAAACATAATAATTTTTCAAGGAAACAAAGACTGAAATTATGCCGAATCACAACAAAGTAAAATCAAGAGCAGTAAAAATGAAGATTGAACGATATTTCAGATAAGTCCACGGATACGGAGCTTAGGTAAACAGTTTAAAAGCAGGAATTGAAGGAATTCAAAGCTAATTTCAATAATAAATAGCTTCAGATTTCTTGAACAACTTGACAAAAAATAGAAGAAAATCTTGAGGATGAAAAGAATCAACAGGTAAAGTCAACGATGCAAAAGGCGTCGAAGGCAACGCTAACAACGGTTCCGGTGGTCGGATCGAGAGAGCGGAGCTCCTATGAGATTTGCTAAGCCAAAGAAATAAAAGTAAGAGATTTTTTTTTTGCCTTCAAGTCTCCTACGGTCGAAGAAGACAGCGGATACTTTTCTTTTGGGTAAAATTCCTCCGAGGTGGCTCAACTATATATTAGTAATAAATAGGTAACTTGTTTACTATGCATTACAATTTAATCACTCAATTAAAATATTACAAATAAATCACTAGTAGTTAAATATTAGACATCAAAGTGGTATGTGCACATGTAATAATAATTTTAATATTTAAAATGTATGTATTTTCTTAATTTTTTAATCTAAAATAATTTAATAAATTTAATCATTCATATTTTAAAAAATTTATGATTTTATTCTTTAATTTTCTTCTAAATTATATTTTCTCATAAATATTATATAATTATCATGACATTTTTATAACATAATGGTAACGATTTATTATTGTTTTATGATAGAATTTTGTTATTCAATTGCTATTTTTATCTGACATGTTTTTTTAACAATATCAAAAAAAGAATTAAGTTGATTAAAAATTAAATATAAATGATTAAATATAATAAATTATTTTAAATTAAGAAAAAATTGATAGAATATATAAATTTTATAGATTAAAACTATCATTATACGAAGGCAATATTAGATATTTGTTTCAATCTTAAAGACATATGATTTATTTGTAATAGATTTTTAATTGAGTGACTAAATTGAAGTTTTATGACCCATTTGTTACTAAATACAAAATTGGGTAGTCTGGTAGTGGTATTTTACCCTTTCCTTTTATCAAAATGACGGTTGTGCCATTTATTATGTGACGTGTCAGTCATCTGTTCGTTATATTTCAACGCAACCAAACATTGTTATGTAGCGTATACAAACACGTCGCAGTGATTTCAGTAGCGGAAAAATTAGTGGAGAAAATAAACCATCATATACAGTAAGTGTAAAGTAAAGCTTGGACATTTTGTTAAATCTCTCGTCTCTCTGTTGGGGGAAAAAATAGGGTTTCGATAATTTTGAAGCAGAGATCGAAAGCCAATGGAGAGTGCATTAGCAAACGTCTCGGCTATTGTAGATCAGAGGCAGAAAATCGAGCAATACAAGAACATTTTGTTAATTGTTTTCTCATCCAACGACATCGTTCAGGCCAAGAAATTCATCGATCATAGTAATCGTTTTACCTTTGCTTGCCTTAAAGTTTGTCTAGAGGTTTTTAGGGTTTAATAATTTTGATTTAATTTTCTTCAGTGCTATCGGACGATGTCCCACTGGTTGTATCAAGGCAGCTCTTACAGACTTTCGCACAAGAATTAGGAAGATTGGAGCCAGAGGCACAAAAGAAAGTTGCGCATTACATCCTTTCTCAGATTCAGCCTCGTGTCGTTTCATTCGAAGAACAGGTTCCTTTTAATTTGATTGCTAGCCCTTTTTCCGCTGACGAAATGATTTGATTGAAAGATGAATCCGTTAATTCTATTTCTTCGAACAGTTACTGTTCTTCTTCTTCTTTTCCTCTTTTGGTTCAGTTTTCCCCATGTCGTGCTTTCTAGTTTGGTTGGAATTCGTTTGCAAAACAGAGAATAGTTTTTTCTTCGGTATTTTAGTTTCTTTGGATAAGCTACTAATCAGCTAATGAAATCTGGATGGTTGTTTGATAAAAGCTGTTTACTTTGCATGAGTTCTGTAGGTTCTTATTATTAGAGAGAAACTTGCTGAGTTGTATGAGTCAGAACAGCAGTGGTCAAAAGCAGCTCAGATGCTAAGTGGGATTGATTTGGACTCTGGCATGAGGTCTGATAGTAAGATTCCCTTTAATTTTATAGTGAAGTGTGCAGAACATGTTATTTTGTTCATATTGATGATGCTTATGTGTTTTTGATATTATTATCAGGGTTATTGATGATACGTTCAGATTGTCAAAGTGTGTCCAAATTGCCCGTCTCTATCTTGAGGTATTGGATATTTTTAATTGAATGCCAACATTATATAGGCAAGTTTGGATGTGTTAGAATGCCAAGAAGTTATTCAGTTACTTATTCAATTTCTGATATGTAAAATCAATGTGGAAAGGTGACCCGAAACTATTGCTTGAGTATTTTACAGGATGATGATTCCGTTAATGCAGAAGCTTTTATTAACAAAGCTTCATTCTTGGTTAGCAACTGTCAGAATGAAGTACTGATTTTACAATACAAGGTTTGGCATAGTTTTAGGTCAATTACTGTAATCTAGAGCTGGAAGTCAAGTCATTCTTTAGTTTAATTTCTTTTCCCTGGTTTTCAGGTTTGTTATGCTAGGATTTTGGATTTAAAGAGGAAGTTCTTGGAAGCAGCATTGCGATACTACAACATATCTCAAATTGAGAAGCGACAAATAGGAGATGAGTATGTAATTAGGCCCTAATTGTTTTTGTCCACATTTCACTTAAAGCAGTTATTAGCTGACATAAATGGAAGCAAATGGACTCTCTGAACTTGTTCTACATCACTCGATACATGGGGTTTGCATCGCTGACCATCATGTTTCGCAGATCGTGTAACCTTTCATTTTGCTTGTATCTTTTTTCTCTCTTTATTTTTCTGAATACTACATTATGTTTGAGGGATTATGATACAAAATTTTCAATGTTCCACTATTACAGAACAATTGATGAGGATGCACTGGAACAAGCTCTATCTGCTGCTGTAACATGTACAATATTAGCTGCTGCAGGTCCTCAACGCTCTCGTGTTCTTGCCACCCTTTACAAAGTACAAAGTTTCTCTTGAATGTGATAGATTTTTTTATTTTGTGTTTGATTCTAATAATGGCAATGACTTGTGTCATGTTTCAGGATGAACGATGTTCCAAGCTTAAGATTTATCCAATATTACAAAAGGTTCTTTTTCTTGCATCTAGGTGCACACACACACGCACTGACATATGCATTCCTTCATGCACTTGTTTAGCACATTGTTGTCTATATCTATCACATAACCTTAAATTCCACCCTGTTGGGAATTTTATGGAGATTAACAGGTTTATTTGGAGAGAATCTTAAGAAAACCTGAAATTGATGCATTTGCTGAAGAACTGAAACCGCATCAGGTTAAAAAATGTTTGAACTAGCTTACATATTACGTTTACAGTTCAAGTTCTCCTTTCTTTAACTAGCCTTTCCTTTCCCAACAGAAAGCATCACTTCCTGACAATTTCACCGTGCTGGACCGTGCCATGATAGAGCATAATCTTCTGAGTGCAAGTAAACTTTATACAAATATAAGGTTAGAAACATAACACTAATGGTTTTCTTCTTATCTTATTTTCTAGGTTTGAAAATTTCTAACAAACCTTTTGCTTTCTTTGACATAGTTTTGATGAGCTTGGAACTTTACTGGGAATTCCTCCTAATAAGGTACAATTCTTATGTTAGAGCCTTTTAAGCTACTTTTGTAGCTTTTCGTTTTTGGTTATATGCTCCATCTCTATTAGGGAATACTTCCATATTTATAGTTAAACAGAGAAGATGATTGGCTGGTTTTCTTTACAGGCTGAGAAAATAGCTTCAAGAATGATTTATGAGGATAGAATGAGGGGATCGATTGATCAGGTTTCTAAATTTTTGCCTCGTGATTTTTCACTATTTTAATGGATTCAGTGATCAATTGATTTTAGGATAAATGATTCTCAAAGTGAAGCTGATTTTACAAATGTCTTTAGTCAGAACCATCTGCTGTTTAAATAATGAATACCTGTATGCATCAGGTGGAGGCGGTTATACATTTTGAAGATGACACTGAAGAGCTGCAACAATGGGACCAACAGGTAATGCGCTCTTGAGCTTGGACTTAAAATTACAGATAAAATGGTGAACTCCGGCTTTGTGATTTCTCAGATTTATCACGGCTTGTGATTATGCAGATTGTTGGTTTGTGTCAAGCTCTGAATGACATACTGGATAGCATGGCAAAGAAAGGCATGGCAGTTCCTGTGTGATCCGATGCACCAACCAGGAACAATGAAACTTACAAGAGACTTCACCCTTCACCGTTTTTGCCCAACTTTAGTTATTGGGATTTAGTTTTATAATTGCCATTTCGTCTGTTAGGCAACATGGGGTTTTGGATCATCAGTTGAAGTGTCCGTAATTATCATCGTTATTTTATTTTATTTTTTGTTAAGTTGCCTTATTGGCCTGTTATGATACCCCAAGTTAATAAAATTGCCAGTAATGTGCTTCATATTGGATATCTATTTCATTATATAAAAATTATAGTACTAGTATTTTATTAAAATTAAAGTAAACCTGTTTTTGGTAAAATAAGGGAAATATAAGCTAAAACAATATGCACAGCCTTGGGGATCTTTACCCTTTCATGCAGCAGTGGTGTTGGAGGATCTCCAATA